CAGCCGAATCAAACAGTTAGCAGAGTTGAATGGCATCTGATAGAGATTATTCATGCGAAGATTAAGAAATGTTTAAGACGCTCAAAATATAATCATGCCTATTTTCAAAAATTTAAGCTTTTGCCTATAAGGAATCTAACTTATGAATCATGCACGCTTGAATTTTAAAAGCAATCCAGTTAAAAGTATTATAATTCAATTGCTGACGAAATAGTTTCTGCCTCTATATTTAAGAAAATGTTGGTCTTATATGCATGCCGCCTATTTGCCGGCAATATGTGTGATAAATGTTTCAGAGATGTTATATGCCCATTAAATGCAAGTACTTGGTTCGTTCTCGATTTGTAGCTACAGACAGTGAGATATAGTGCTATTTAACATAGCAATCCAATCGTAGTATGGAAATCTGATCCGGATAAATACGATTCGCAATATCAGTAGTAACCAGATGTAGATTTGAAAAACTTGACCAATTGTAGTAGTTGAAGAAAATAAATAATATTTCCTATTGAACTAACAACTCATCGGCATTTTTAAGATTTCTGTATATAAATATCGTTCAACCGCGAATCAGATCGATATCCTACAAACTAAATAAAAGTGTTTCCTCATGTGCCGTCACTTGATTTGCATTTGTTTTGCCCAAGTGGCTGGTACCTCGGATAAAGTACATTCAGTTTAGATATAAGTTTATATCGGTAATGCCTTCCTGAAGGCATAAGATAAAGTATGGACTCGGCTGCAGTAACGGTCCACAATATACTGTATGTATATTGAGTGCCGATTAAATAAAACTATTCAAGCTATGGCAAATTAATAAAAATAAAGAAGGCTTACTTATGTCGAAAGAAATGAATATATATTGGGGACTCATTGATCTAAATGGATAGAATACTCTGGACATATCTGGACTTAAAAGAATTTATCCATATCACTAATTTTTACTTATGGTTTATTTTCTGTTTGTATGTCACCCTAATACTTATTGGATTAGTCATGAATACGGCAAGGCCTAGTGATCCAAATTTTTGTGTAGGCTATAAGCAGCAAGAAGAAGACAACTTAGATCCATAGCATCCCTCCTTCGCCAGGGCTACTGAGTTCATTGTGAAAAAACGCGAATACATGACCTAAGATGATCTTAAGTGACCTTGTCTTGCCACATATATTGAAGAATTTCCAATCTGTGATGGTAAAACTAATAATATGTGTATAACATCAAATGATTGCGCCCCGCAATCAGCCAAATAACTAATGGGACCGAAATATAGGATCGTAATAAGACTCTTCAGCTCCTATGGAAACGTTTAGCCTTGGGCAGATAGAAATATTACACTCCCAACGTTTTTGTCTTAAAAGTCAAATTCCTAACGTATTTACCCCACAAATCTATGAATGAGCAAGTATTTTACAAAATACATCAAAGATTAAGTTATGACGATGTGTTTGACGGTAACCCCTACTCATATAATCACATTATATGGCATTTATAAAGCAGTGTTAAGTGCTAGGTTTTATAGATATAAATTCAGATTTTTGTTTCGTAAATAACGTAATCAAAAATTAATGAAGGTGCTTTAGGAGTAAGGCGCAGTATCTAAGTCAGACTAATTTATATGATCCTTGCTAAGGATTAACATGGAAATGTTGATGAAAGTACAAATAATAAATGAGACAACTATAAGATGAAATATAACTTTTTAATGCGAACGAAAATTTGGTTGAAAGGAAGTTAAGAATTTGTCTTTACGGAAGTCGGAAGACACCTTGATATCAAAACAAGTTTCTGAATATAAATCCACACAAATATTTAGTCATGACTACTGTTTGTCAAGGGGCAGGTTAACTGTCGTTTGACTTTATTTAGGATTTACTACTTTAAAAATTAATTTTTTTTTCAATTTTGCGACTATTCATTTTTCTCGTTTTATAAAACCGGAGCTTTGGTTTATTTGGAAGCATTGGCTAGAGGAATGCGTAAATTGGCTCTTCCGGAAACTAAACGAATTATGAGAGTTAAGTTTAACAAAGATGGTCTTGTTAGACTGTTGTGTGGCTTTAATATTTTCTTGAAGACTTTATGTCTGGTGCATGACAGGCATCATTAAATAATAAACTTCTTCAAACACCTAGATGGTAATAGTAGTCCTTTACAATTTTACCGATTTTATCTTATCCAATAGATGATATTGCTAGCTAATTTGTGTTTATTACTGAATGCTGCAAGGCAATAAAAATTATTAAGTAAAATGGAGAGGTCATCGGCCAGAAAGTAGTTCTATTGCCTGAATCACTTGAGGTTTAATACTGCATGTAACGCGTGCTCTAAGCTGTCGAGTCAATTACATTGCATATGCAATGTTTGGGATTCAATTAAGCTCGCTAAAAACTTCAAAAGTCGTTGGATCAATCAAACATTGTTTAACATAATGACACATCCTGTACCTAATACCTAATATACTCTGGCTATAAAATGGCTATATTCTGCTAATTGCAATCGACTTTTCCGAGATCAAGGTGACGGATCGTGTTTAAAGTTAATGAAATAGATATGCTAAAAAGGTATCCAGCGAATATTTCACTCAGTATTGTCAAATAATCAAGAAAAGGTAAGTTACTGAATTGAATTAAAGTAAGAAATAAATCTATTATCATAAAAATACTAATAAACACTTATCAAACTGTCCTTATTATTCAAACCTATGAAGACCAAGATGATGTGACCTTTTGTGTGGTCGCAGTTTCCTTTCGCTGTACAGAAGTTTTTTGACCTTGTCTTCGCAACTTGGTCATATTGATTTAAAGACTTAGAGGCGCGGAGCTAATCCGAAGTCCATTGTATGTATGATCATTTCCAAAGTCAGATCGTGGACGTGGTACATTCCCAGACATTTCGCTGGCATCGTAATCAGCATCGTCAGTGAGTTTTGCCATTCGTAGCACCAGACTACAACTTGTCAAAGAGATAAATGAAGCCGATCTTTCGACGAAATATGTGATAAACAGTTGTAGTATCAATCCTTCTGTCGTGGGCTAATTGCTTCTCCTATATCCTCGTTTCACGCCTTCAATAACACAATTTTTCCTTGCTTATTTAAATGTACGTTAGTGTGCCCTTTTGAGCGGCTTTTATGATAATCCTCCACACTCCACGCTAACGTTCTCACCACCTTCACCATTGTGCTGGGAATGTTGATAAAAGTCTGTCATATTGTAACACAGTCCTCCTTCCCTAGGTCTTATCATAGCCTCCATCTTGCCCAGTGGGATCCGTCTGCTATCTCTCTGGTCCAAGTATTTTACTTGACCCCTACCACCCCATCTGTGTTACTCGAGGCGTTATTATCCATCCCCTGCATCTGGGTGAATAATTAAAGGCTAAAACCTCTAAGTAAGTTTCATGGTCACGCCTTTGCTACATGGACGACGTCTATGGCAAAAAACAGACCTACTGTCAGCCAGCTATCTCCAGTCTCTGCCACGTTTATCCTGTTTCTATCCCTAATACCAAGTCTATTAGTTCCCATGCCCTAGTCTCTTGGGTGCCAACCCACAAATGTTGTGGTACTGCTTGATTTGATTAGCTCCAATGTTGAACCACAACGTTTATCGGTTGGTACACAAGAGACTCTTCCATCGCAAGTCTTATATTTGGTATTACGGATAGAAACAGGATAGATGCGGCGGAGATGGTAACTAGTTGGTTGACAGAAGGTCTGTTCTACCATAGACGTGGTCAATGCATCGTAGACTTAACCATGAGACTTACCCAGAGGCTCTAGCCTCTAATTAGTCACCCAGACGCAGATGATGGTTGATAACGCCTCAAGTAGCACAGATGGGGGGCAGGGGTCAAACAACTTCGATTCCTATTATTAATCGTAACATCAAGCAAAATTAGGCAAAATGCCTAGAACCAAAAAGAAAAGAAAAATGAGCATGTTTTCCAACCGATTAAGATAAAGGGTAGGAGGAGGATTAATTCTGCAAGCTAGCAACATATTTTCAGATAGAATCATATGTACGTAAGATTATAAGACATTTGACTATTTGGACGAAGCTGCAAATTATGTCTCATTATAAAAACGTATTATTATTCTTATATGGCTCCTGTATTGAGTATCCATTATTACAGAGCTTCATGATAGCTTGAGATATCATATTGCCGATATCTCTTTTTAAATTCTGGCAGATACAGTCAGTCAAATTTACCGTATTTAAAAAGTAACTAGAATAGAAGAAGGATTAGATTCAGGTCGTCACCTGGCCTCAAAATTAATCTTGCATTGAAATTGGAGGGTAAATTTGCCGATATTATTTACCTTCCCTCTGCCTGATGCCTATATAATCACGTGGAGCATAAAGTCAAAACTAACCCAAATAACGAATCAGAATGTATGTAAAAAATAATAAAATTAATTAATTTGATGAAATAAACTAATCTATTAATTTTTACGCGATTAGAACTATAGTTTTTTATTTTATTTGTATATGCTACATAAGATTGTCTGGTCTTGCGCGCTTTTCGCAACTCCGTTGCTGTTCGTTATCTCGTCTTTCTTTGATGGATATTATACAAATAGCTTCCTCATACTCTAGGGTTTTCTTTGGCTGCTTATCTATTTGGAGCCTGGGGTACTTTCGCTTTAGCCCCTCTTGGCTTGCGATTGGTACCCTAGCCTATATTTTGTTCAATAGAACCAGAACTAAACGAAAACTAGTTATCAGCACTCTTAAGACAATAGGGAAAGATGAAAAAAATGCAATTATACAGAACATAGGTGCACATGAATTACCTTCTTGGGTAGATGACTTTCTTTTTTGATGTTTTAGGTATATTTTCCTGATGTCGAGCGAGCCGAATGGCTAAATAAAGTAAGTCAACCATCACTGCGTGTATTCTTTAGATCATTAAAAGAATGTGGCCATATATAACAGATTATGCGAAAGACATTGTGCACGAGACTGTTGGCCCTGCAGTCGATGCAAATTTACCTGCACCACTTAAGCCATTCAAATTCGTCCTTTTGGACTTTGGGGATACAGTAAGTGTAATTTCTAGACTTTTACTCGTTTATTAGCCTCTTCGAGTTGGAGGTGTTAAAGTCTACATGGAGGAAAGCATTAAAAGAGATGAAATTGTAATGGATTTGGATATTATGCACGTCAACACATATTTATAATTCATTAACATAGGTTATATAGTGATGCTGTTATTCGCGTTTCAGTGGGTAAAATTGTTGCAGGGATAAAAGAATTTGAGGTAAATTTACGATTTGTATTTTTGATTTGCTTTCAATTTCTGTTAATATATTTAATACTCTGTCTAGCTACGTGGGACACTCCGTGTAGTAATTAAGCCTCTAGTCCCGAAAATACCGATTGCAGGGGCAATTACTGTTTGTTTTTTGGACAACCCGGTATGTATTTTAATTTTTTTAATGCTATTTTTAAAAACATTAAATTATATTTGGACGTTTTTTTAGGTCATAAATTTCCTCTTAACTGACATGGGAAATATTCTTGGCTTCCCTGGACTCCAGTAAGATCATGCTTTTTATCATTTAAAACTAAATGCATTTTTTCTGTTATTCGATAATTAGTACGTAGTAAACTTATTCTCTTTGCTTTATTTCAGGGAGACACTGAATTCGACTATACGCCAAGTGGTTTCTAATATTTGCGTTCTTCCTAATCGTATTCCAATCCAACTTGTTGACGATGTGAATTTGCATCGCCTGAAGTTTCCGATGCCCGAGGTAAATTTGTCTTCCATTTATCTGATTATCCTGTACTTTTTGCAGCGTAATGCCCAAAACCAGTTTCGGGTATTAATTTACTGCATTCAAATATTATTTGTGTATTCTCCGAAGTTTATATCTATCCATATATATATAACCATATTAGCACTTCTCCTATCCGTAATATCCAGAGACAATTAAGTTGCTGCATTTATATTTAATTTACCACCTTACTGACTACTTGCTTCTTGTTTACCCTTAAATTTTCTTCATTTTTATTTATATTAGGGAGTTGTTCGTATTAACGTAGTTTCTGCTCGTGATCTTGTTGCTAAAGATGTTGCAGTTATTGGCAAGAATTCATCCGATCCATACTGTACGCTATTGGGTTAGTAGTCATTCTATTACAATTATCGGTACATCTTGCATTGTCTTTTACAAACAAATAGATTGTTTTGTAAATTTCAATTTATTTTACTCATTTGACCTAGTAAACTCTGTAAATTAAAAGTGTGTTTACCTCGTTTTCGTAACTTGGTCTCGTCAGGGTGACTTAGTTGGGCGCACCTTGTCAGAAGTCCTCTGCTATAGTAGTTATCATAATTCCCAGCGTCAGGTCGTGAACTTGGGATACTAGGAACTGCGATAACTA